TCTGCAAGATGGAAAATCTCTCTCTAGGATCTCTGCTCTTTTCTCCAGCAAAGAAAGAAATCTGTGTGGTGCCAGCAGAGGTGTTCTCAGCAGGACCTGGCCCATTAAATGAAAGACTTCCATGCTGAGCCAATCAAGAGAGACCTGGACAAAAATCAGACTCTTTCCTGCCCTGGAAACCCATGCCTTGAATCTGTAATTCATCTGTTAAATCGAGTGTGCAGCCGGTGGTTTAGCACAGAGGGGGACAGCGGGGAAGGGAAGAGAGAGGGGCAGGAGCCACAGCACTTGAATTTCTAGCATCAGTCAAGTTAGGAAGAAGAAACAGGGCTGTGATAGCTTCTTGCACCTTATGTTTCCAGCAAAGAGAAACCAGCAGGAAAGATTTTTGAAAACTGATGAGCTGGTGCAAGGCATCCGAACAATGGCGGGAGAGGCAGGGCCCCCAGGGGCTGAATAAAACACAGTTCCGCTATTGCCTTTCAACAAGACTGAATAAAGTTTAGGATTTTTTTTTATGGGACTTGTAGCCATTTTTAAACTTTCATTTTTCATAATGTCACAGATAATCTTTTTATCTATTATCCACTGGCTCTTTTCTGAGAGGCATTTGCATCAAATAGTGCTGCACAGATCATGACTGTCTCTAGTGGGGAAAGCAGCTTGAAATGAAAGGTTATTCACTCCCTCTGCTTTCACTGGCTTTGTTCTTCATTCTCACACATTTTTTTTTTTTTTTTTTACATCTGAATTCAGTTATTTCTGGAGTTTTTCTTTAGAAACTCTTCCATTCTGAGATCTAAGCATGTTCAGACCCCAGTCTATATATCAGGGGTTACAAAGCTTACTTACATTCACTGAAAGTGAAGCATCTACTTTGAAACCTTTGTTGGACACCCCATGTCCTCCAAAATCCCTTCAGAGCATTGCCTGCAGTGGCTGCGACAATAATAAGGCGGGCACTCATGCAGTGGGGGCTCTTTCCAGCGCCGGCCTCCCAGGGCTGTGGAGTGGTCGCATGCACTACCAGACAGCCCACCCTTCCAGCAGCGAGGAGAGTGGGTCTGGGGGACGGATTTCCTTTCACCCCTCCTCCCATGGGGAGACTGAAAACCAGGGCTCTCCCAGTGTGGACAAGCACAGGTGGGAACCAGGAGCAGCCTGGGCCCACAGGGAGAAGAATCAAAAGCCAGCCCGTTTGTGTGTGAAACCCCATTGAAAAAATGACCTAGAAAGTCGTGGCGATATGACTGATGGTTTCCCTTCAGCTTCTGTCAGAGTTCATCCCCCTCTAGGGGGTTCTGGGGGGAACCAGGGTTGTTCTCAAGCCTCTTGACAAAGCTGCTCGGGGAAAGCAACTGCTTTTCGCCTCCAGCTTCCTCCTCTGCTGCCCCAGGGGACAGTGCACCAGGACACTCCCACTGTCCCCTCACACAGAGCCCAGAAACATTTCTTTCCTTCCCAAAAAGGAGCGAGAGCCCACTGCACAGGCAAGGCCCGAGGGGCCCCTGCCACTTCTTTGTTCAGACTGCGCCCTGAGCTTGGTCTCACACAGCTGCGCTCAGGCTGGTAATGACCTCACAGAACAGGGGCCATGAGCGTGTTTGGCTTGTTTTCACATGTGTATGTAAAGGGTGCCTAAAATAAAGGAACACAGGGCCCAAGAAGTACTGACAGTCCCCTCCAGCTAGAGGGCAAGTTCGTGTGGCTGTTGAGGGCCATTGGGGTACTGCTGTTACCGTCACAGGGACCTGCAGGGAGGCCATACTGCCTCATTTATTACACAGGACACTAAAGCCTGGTGGAGGGGGAGTCATTTCCAAGTTCACAGGGATGGTGCTAGGTGAGCCTCAGAACTTAGATGTTTTCAAATCTAAATTGCCTGTTCCTATGGTCCTTTGTCTCCCTAAATTGTGAGAACTTTGGGGTACACTGTTCCTTTATTTTAGGGACTCTCGAGATATGCAACAGTGATTACAGCTGCTGTAAGATTTGTTTGGAAGAGAAAGGTAGTATTGTCTGACTAATGAGGTAATTTCCTTGTCCCTAAGTTTGTCTCTCCAGACCTTTGATCTAGTCATCATACTTTTACACGTTTATTACTGAAAAGAAATTTCTGTTAAGTCATAAATACAGTAGAAGCCCTTGTGAGTAAAAACATGAAAGTATTCTCTCCTTGGGTGTGGAAATCTCCCAGTGATGTGGCAACAGTGTAGAAATAGTTCCTGAGTTGTCAACTAAACATAAACAGATTTCCTAGTTGTAACAAACATACTTATAGCTGTGAACTTAAAACTCTTCCAGTAAAGCAGAACGTCCTTTTGTACCATATAGCTTTCCTCGCTTACTGTAGCTCTTCTGTGTGAGCTCTACGAGTTCAGTTTCATTGTATAGGTATTTATAACACTTTTACTAAGTAGAGCACCTGCTGAATCTTTTTAACTTGTTCTGGAGTTGGGGAATTGCAGTTAATGTTTCCTCACCCACACTTACAAATTCACCTAGATTGGCAACATGAGGTGGCAAGAAAATATTGAACTGAGACTCAGAAGGTGTTGGTGCTAGTTCTGGGGTGCCCGTAACCATACGAGAAGGTGTCTCTACTTCTGTAAGGCTCAGGAAGAAAGAGTCATACTACTTGCTCTGCCCGCCTCCCTGGATTGGTAAGAGTGCCAAGGCAGATGAGAAAGATTGGGTTCTTCCAGATGTGACCTTATGCCAGGCTTCGCCAGATGTGGTATGATAGACCCAATTTGTGGTTGCTCACAGAAGCTTTTGGTCCGTAGAACAGGTTGTTCCCCTTTGCTTGGAGAAAAAGAAAGTTCTGAGATCTATACCAGCCTACTCTTTGACAGGATGCCTTGGTCCCTGGCAGCGGGATTCCCCGCTGTCTCCTTAAATGCCCCATGCCTTTACACATGCTTCCCACACCTGTAGCACATTCGCAGTCCACACGTGCTTCAAGACTGTCGCTGGTCCCACTTCTGTCACCCTGACCAGGCCGCTGAGCAGATAATCCAGCAATTCTGTCAAGGGGACTCAGCTTTCCCTTCCACTCAATGGGAAGAATAGTCCCTCTTGCTTTCCTAGGTGTAATGTGGACTAAATAGTATTTTTGTGTTTGGGGAAGAAAAATAAAGCATTGCTGAAAAAATGGAATACTTGTTGACCGCTCCACTCCCAATAATCTCCATTAATTAAGGGATGTGCTTTACACAAGTCTCCAATTCCATAAACACCAGACTAAGACCTGGCCTTGATGCAGATGGTATGGCAGTTCGCTCACCTTGACCATTGTTGAAATGTAGGTCTTCTGGGTGGTACCTACTCCCCCAAAGTATATGATGGAAGGCCTGTAAAAACACAGGTTGCTGCCTCCCCTGCCTCAGAGATTCTGACTCAGTAGGTCTGGAGTTGGGCACAATAATTTCCATTCCAACCAACTCCTGGATCATGCTGGTCCAAAGACCACACTTTGAGAAACTGTCCTTTGATAGCACTGGTTAGCAGGCCTTCGTCCCTGCTCAGGAACTTGTCAGGATGGTTCAGATGCTGAGCTCTGCACGTTCAAATTTTTAGAATTTCTAAACATGAGGCAGCCAGGCGTTCACTCTGTATATTCAAGGACCATAGAGAGAAGCTTAGCAGCTCTCCAGTCACAAGGAATGCTCCCTGTGGCTTGCTGCCTATCTCTACCATCCATTTCTATAGATGGAGGTTGCAAAGGCCAGACTAGACACAATAAGCAAAGTGGATGGTAGGGGTGGGAAATCGTGTTAGCTTTGGTCAGGGATAAACATGTCCAGAACCACCAAAATAGGGTGTGCAGTAAAAATTATTGTTAGCCGCTGTCTGGGCAGACGTGCAAAGCTGGCATTGAAGCAGCCCCTCTTAGGGGCCTGGTGCTATTTGCAGGAATATCATCCTTAGCCATTTGTTTCTGGCTGGCCCTTCCAAGAATTGCCTCTCTTCAGCACACCTCTTGGGTTAAGGAGCATTGAGGTATTGTGGCGGAAACCCAGAAATTAGAAGTTTGGGTTCGCATGCCCACTCTGTCACTTACTAGCTCAGAGGCAAGGAGGCTTCTGAACCATTCCAAGCCTCGTTTCCTAATGTGTAAGATGTAGATAATGCTCCCTGATTTATCAACCTCTCAGGGCCTAACTGCACATATTTGGTGTCCTGTGCATTCCTGGGAATGTCTCTGAAGTTAGGGCCGTCGGCAAGGAAGGCAGCCCTGGCGCTCTTCAGAAATACTGGAAGGGGGACGCCTGAGGCCTGACCTTGCTTTTCTGCTCACTCACCATCACAAACCCCTTCATCCTTTCATCTTCCCTTTTCTCCTCTGTACCATGGAGTTGGAGTAAATACTCTGGACAGAACATCTTCTGGCAGTAAAGGGCTCGAGCCTATTGTCAACTGGAAGACTCACATAGAGGTTGTGCTGTCCAAAACCCAAAGAGCAAAGAAAGATTCTTTCAAACCACCCAGTCTGGGTGGGCGGCGCAGTTTTGTGGTTTCCTGGCATGACAACCGCCCCGTCATGCTGCCCCTCAAGTCTCAGGTTGCTTCAGGGCTGCCTGGACACTCCGGGACCTGTCCCCGCTCGTCCCTGCCTGCCCGGGACCCGGTCGTCAGAACCCGCTCCCTGTCTGCCTCCGCGCGCCACACCCCCGCGCCGGCGCCCGGCTCCCGCCGCCGCAGCCAATCCGCGCGTGCACTGCGGGTGACCTCCCCCGGGCCGGGAATAAATTGTCAAGTTGCCCGCCGCCAGTTTCACTCTTCCTGGCTAATTAGGAGAG